CCAACCCACATGCGCTCTGTCAATATATAGATAAATCAAATCACCTCCACTATCTTTTCCCTCTGCAACTGTGTCTGTATCATCAACTCTTTCGTCATCTCTTACATTGTCACCCTCGTCACCAACATCATCATCATCTTCCTCATCATCACCTTTACGCTGCGCGCGCAGCACGCGACTTATGGAGCTGACGCTTGGCGCCGTGTTTCTATCGCAGATCCCTTCCCTGAGGAGTCTACTGGAATTAAACCATATCTTAGTGCATGGGTGTGGTTGTCATAGAATGCAAGAATTTCTCCTAAATTGAGGCTATTTACCTTGCTATTCTATGATGAAAATGCTCTGGTAGACATCGAAATATTGGAGGCAAAAAATTTCAATATTTAGCTGTTGATTTTAAGAAAAGCACTTAATTCTCATGGGTATGGCTGACTGTGGACAGCAGCACGGCCAGACCTTTTTCAAACAATTTCGCTAAAAAAATTGCTCATAATTTTGATGTAGGTTTACAATTTTTTGAGAGTAGGGGGTTGGGGGGGGGGGGGATTTCCAACCGCCTCCCGTTTTCACATTTCCATATGCCTATGTAGGGATGAATCTGTAAACTTGGGAGGATCGTTTGGCGAATATCATTTCATCTATGCACAAAGTTAAAAATAGAAATAAAATACAAACTATAATACATTTATTTATATTCATTTTTATTTTCCCCTTCATATGCCCCACCTGTCCCGTATCTCCCAGCTGAAGATTCCTGGGTTCTCCCTCTTGTACTGCTCTATCCTGGACTCGACTTCAGGGGTCGCCACTCTCGGCTTAGAGCCACCGATCATCCCGGGCCGGATACTGCCGGTTTCTTGGTACCTAGGAGCAACGTTGGGGAATTCAGACTTAGTGGTCAAAGACTACAAGCATTTTATGTATAGTTTAGGTTAAACTCCTATTGTTTACGGTTACTGTTCTATTGGTAATAACAAGTTAGTCCACAGAACTACAAATTTTCAGCACTGTCGTGTCTGCAACTCTGGAGTAAATGCTGTATGATAAATGACACCTTGAGCGTATCATTTTCAAACAAAAAGAAAAAAAAAGATTTTTCAAACTACTATATTTATTTCGTTCGCAGCTTGCTCAGTGAGCAAACGAGAAAACACTCTGTTCATTTCAGTGCATCCTGGGTAGGTAGATATGACGCCATCCATTAAATGTGACGTCATACTTACGTTATTAACTTTAAATGTGCCTTCTTTGCAGAAAGAATCAGAAGTGTGACAGTTACATGTACGGTTTTGCTGATGTTTTATCAAACTATAAGCGATACGTAAGCAGCCAGATTATCTGCTGCGAAATGACCGAATTTATGAGTGTGTGCCGTCATGCTTAAGACGTGAGCGAAAGGACTACTTGGCTTTATATCAATATCGGTTCATTGCTATGTCTGTTCTCTTATTTATGTCTACAGCGACACTGTGCACTGCTTACCTCTGCAGTATCTTGCTAACGCATCCATGTGACACCCTTAACTGTCTGCTGATGACACACGGTCGGACGCCTTGGGAGGCCAGCTCCACGATCTTTAGACGAATGTGGTTGGGAAGAGGGCGACCGTTGATGAATACCCCTCCTAGCTGGTTCACGCGCCCTTGACCTGGAACATAATAATCGAGGGCAAAATTATTCCATGGTCTCTTAACTAGAGAAAATCATAACTCGTTAAATCGTTTCTTCCGGGTATTTGGCGGTTCCCGCGTCATCTCCATTTTGGTAAACTCTGAGATAATATACACATAACTTTAATGCTCATTGAAGTCCTATAAACTTCACGTTTTCTCATTATACCTGGCACTATTTTTTCTTTGTGTGGAAATCCAGAAATATTCGAATTCAACCTTGGCAACTGAAAATCTCTGTATCCCCCATAAAGGATCTCGACTGCCTCCTTGGACATGTTCTTAATGCACTCTCTATACAAAAATAATTACACGGCCAGATAGATTCAAACTAATTCTGACTCATTACACACTCTGGCTTTTGTGTTGTCTATTTGAAGAATTAAAAAATAATGTCACAGTCGATGTTTAATTGGTTAAAATAAGTAATGGTTTTATCAAAAATATTTAGGATTTCACATGAGCTGCCTCAACATTTATCTCTGCTCCCTCTGTCGAACGGGTCTTGAAATCTTGCTATTCAGACGCTAGTTTGACTTTCACACTGATGTTTTGGCGAAGTTAAAAAAAATGCTTGTACATACCATGTACTTTTTATATGATTAAAAATAAATATATGTATATTTAGAAATATTTGAATATTTGAAACGAATGGGATCCTAAATGAGTCGCCGTCCGAAACGTTGTTATATCATGTATATATTTTTTCAGTTGAAGCAGTTTTCAACAAACCATAAGAATGAATAAACTTTCAATGATCCGTTTGACGCGGTATTTTCTGTGCTTGGATATTGAGTTTGGTATTCAAAATATTTATTACTGAGAAGAGAATTTTTGAAGAAAATCCTGTAACTACCTTCTAAAAGACTTAATTCCAATGAATAAGATATACGACAAGCTCCATGTTTCAAAAAAAAAAAAAAAAAAAAAAATTCTTAGAAATCCATAATTTATATTTGAAGTCTCTTTTTGTTATGTTTAACATAAGAATTATATTTTACATTAGTGCGGAATTTTCTGATATATTTATGTTACACATGCGAAAGTCAATAAAATTAAGTTCAAGGCAAACATAAATCGAAAACGTACACGTTTACTAATGTGTCTCCGGGAATACAAAACATTTCAAATGATAGCAGATAAGGGAATATCAATTTTTTTTTGCCGCATTCTGGAGATATTTTTCAGATTTATAACATAACATTTTTACTGCTCATAAAGTTAGCCTTTGGTTGATGGGGAAGCACCATATTTAGTCCAGTGACATATCTATCTTATCAAACGCTCTGAACTCAAAACTTCTTGACAAGACGAAATAACACTGTGGATGAAACTTTACATGTAGAATAACAGATGTATATTTACTTACACAAAATGTATATTTTGAATCGTTGTGCCTTCCATCCCGAGGACGGTAAAAGTTTACAGTCAAGGACAATATACTGTAACACGCAACACACCCGTCTCAAGAACTACACTGTTAAAATCATATACACGTTCTTAAAAAAACGGCGGTACGACAATGACAATTTTATGCATCACAACGGTCCAACAGAAACTTCAATACAGCAAATTACGAGAGTCACAAAAAAAAAAAAAAAAAAAAAAAAAAAAAAAAAAAATCAGCACAATTTAATTTGCTTCATATTTTATATAATTTATTTAAACACAACCGCCAAATGTGTTTTTATATTTACTTCTATATGCTTTCCACGCACGTGGGGGACAGAAAGATTTATTGTTCACAGATATTTTATTACCGTGTTGTAGATACTCACAGATATTTTATTACCGTGTTGTAGATACTCACAAATCGGCTGTACAGATGGACATGTTAAAATGATTAAATAAAATGAGTAGAGTTTAGTATTTACAATCGGTCTCAACAATGCACAGGGCTGATGCAGTTCACATTTGTTTCTTTACAAAAAATCTTAACTTTTAAATCTTGCACTGAAATAACCGTGGTACAAAAATCTTACATGAAAATTACTGAATAGTTAAGACTATGTTCTCTGTCAAATTTATTTTAAATTTATTTTCGAACAAATTTATTTTTATTTTGCATTTTAGGAAAAGATACTATGTTACATTTTTATTTTTTTTGTTTTATGAAAGGCATCCAATGATTTAGATGTTAACATTGAACTACTATATGTAGCTTTGTTTAAATGTATTTTCCCTTAAAATGTTTAATTCAAACCGCTATTAGTTAAAACCAATGAAAATATCTAGCTCTTTAATATATTTCGGTGACGATTTATTTTCGGCAAAATCTTTTTCCATTTATATTCTCTTTTTGTTGTCATCTTTTTATGTGTTCTCTGACTGATCACTGAATTTCTGACAATATCTTAGAGTATCGATTTATTTCCTCTTTAACAATAATTTTGTTCTTCGATTTTCGAAAATATGTTTTCTTGGATCCACGCGACCCTTTAGCTCACTGATGTGGACGCCGCCTCTAAAAACACACGCATCACCCCATCTGCAGCTGCGCTACTTAAGGTTCCATCGAAAAAGAACAATCATCCTGCGCCAGCGTTGTAAATCAACTACCACTTTAAGGTTTGGGCAGCAATAAAACGAGCTCTATTTAATAACGGTATCAAAATCAAATCTCACCATTATAATACCGTTAATAAATGTGCCTTCACCGAGCGGAAGACCCTTAAAGAACACACGAACCAAAGGAGTAATCGGATCCCTTCATTAGACGCTGTCGTTCCTTCTTTAACTGTGTAACGGCCAGGCTATATACATGATAAATCGTCTTTTAAATTCAATTATCAAGCTTTGCTTCGCAGGTGATTCGCTCAACTCTGCTTGTAATACGATGTTATGACAATAAACGAACATCTGTGAGATCAGACCCCCCGCGGGGCCTTACTTGGGTAAGTTTTGTCTCAGTTTTAGATACGGGCTTGGAGCAGCGGTTTGATCTTGAAAATAAATGAATTTGGATTGATCCATGAAAATATATTTTTTATTCAATTTAGCTTCATGTTGTGTTGTACAGGCTGTGAAAATAATGATAGCAGGTCTGATCACTTATGATTTATTTTCTACGGTTTGTCTTGATTTGAGAAGTAAATAATTGTCATATGTCGGTAATGCTTGACTGTTAGTGGTTACAGACTCTGGTTAGATACCGCCTTTCTTCTTGCTGTATTCAAAACTGAGGAGCAGAATCAAGAAAGTTCGCCAGCAGTTTTTGTTAACAGTTACAGTATTACTTGTTAAGAATAGGCTCACCGTTAACATGCTGTATAGGCTCACCTCTGCAATGGCGTTTTTCTGTATGTCAGGTTCCTGCCGCACACCCAACGTTATTAAGCCATTACTGACTTACTTTTTCCTCATTATCCACTTTGGCATATTATTATGATATGTTCTTCATGTGTTCAGATTCATTTGATCACTTGGTATTTAAAAAAAGAAATTTTGCCTTAAGTAAAGGTTAAAGGTTTAAGATTTTAAGAGTTTTTCTCTTTTCTTTATTTAGTCGCTAAGAGTGGATATGATAAAACTATTGAATATCATCGGATTTTATTTTGTATTCTCGACCAATTATATATCTATTTTTTAAATCTTATTTTCTTGTTTGCAAGCTATTTTTATTTTTCCACTTGATTATCAATTAATAATACGTCTTCCGGCCTTCTTACACTGCAACTTCATACAAATAAACTGCAACAGCACACATGTCAGGTTCGCGAGCTCATTGTGCTGGTTTTCAGAAGGGGTGTCCTCTACGGCTGTTACACGGTCTGATTTCACAATATTGGTGACGTTTTTCTACATCATCTCTTTATATTCCTGCCCACAAAGCCATCGAAGAACTTACCTTCAATTCGATTACGCGTCGATATAATTTTAAAGATATTTTAATACCTAAAAGTATTAAATACCTTAATATTTAAAGAATTGAAATTTTGATACAGTGTGCTTTTAATCCTCTTATATTCAAATTTTATTGTCTTTTCTTTGCGTTTTTTCACATAAACAAAAGTAATAAAAAGCCATCTCTTTGTGAAGCATTTTCTCAAGCAGACACTTTCAAAACAACTAAATGCTCCACTGGCAGAAGAGGATTTTCAGAATTTCCTCATCGTTTGCCTAATTAATATTAACACTGTGACACTGAAATTTCCATGCTCTTGTTTTCCTTTCAGCACATTGATGAGTAGGCAGAAAAAGAAAATAATCGCAGAAGATCGAAGAGTTTGTGATTTCATGTTATGTGGATATATATTTATTTCTTTTGCCATGACGCCAAAAAAAGAAGTAAAAATTCCAAAGCCACTTTTAAATAAAGTTGTTGCTCGTCAGTAACGAACAGGCTCTGCCCTCTTTACCAGAGCAATCTGACTCGACTGTCAGAAACAAGAAAAGTACAGCGAACGGTGACAATTTTCACAGACAACATGAAGGATAGGGAGTGAGGGCGTTTAACGATGAAAACAACGCGCGCGTCAACGCATACTTTCTAACAGCGCTGAAACCGAAGCTTAAGGCGACGAGGTAGGAAGCCATGTTGATCTGGGCTACTCTTGATGCAATTTCGGTCGATATCTGGTTTAAGATAGTTCCTGTGCAAAAACAATCGTGTAATAAATCAGGGATGACAAATTGCAGCAGAAACGGTAATTGAATAGATAACTAAGCACACAGATAAATAAACATGGAATTTCACATTGCAGAACGAGATATGTTTACGCATGCTGTTGCCTTCGATTATCGCAAAAATTAAATAAAACGAAATTACAGGTGTACTGATATGCTAATTTTAAATTCTTTATCCCAAAAGATCGCTACTCTTCTCTTCTGAAGATCAAAAATAGGAAAGGTTTCAATTTTGATAAAAAAAAGTGAATGAACTCATACATGGAAAAGGTGTGCTAACTGTTGATGGCGACGTGGTAAAGCATAACCTATTGTATGCAAAACATGACAGAGAAACCGAAAATTAAGGCTTGTCTGATAACCCATGGGAAAACACTATAAAAATCCCAATTTCACGCCGAAAACAAGGATCACGGTAAGCGAAACGTTCAGCATGTAGCATGTAATGCATTACGAAGGCCCTGAAATTCAAACCCGTCGAATTAAACGAAACAGAAGTGGCACGGGTGTAGAATATCCACACTCAATACAGCTGTGCTCTCCTTCGCTCACTCAAATTGATTCGAGGCATGAAAATTGCAATTATGGCAAAATGGATAAGTTACGTCGCTGATTTCACCCGCCATTGTTGTCAGCTTCCACATCAAAAAGGCCGCCGCGAGGAGGTCCGCAGAGGGAATCGTGCCCTTCAATTTTAATTTATTTTGCACCGGGTTGGGTTCCTATCTTCGGGGGGATAAGCACCAATGTGCTCTTTACAGAGAGTGCACTTGTAAGGAAATGAGTCCCGTTTCTATACACGCTGTCTCTTTCTCTGCTACTCGGCAAACAGATATCAACATATAAACCACCTTGTGCACGATTTCAATTACGTGCTCGTGGAGAAAAAAATCATATACAAGCTGTATCTTATACTTACATGACATAAACAACCGAACTGGGATTTAAATTGAGAATCGAACATTGGCAAAATCAAGCCCAAGGATCACAAACAAATTTCCCAGTTAATTATATATAAACTAAGTGGTGAAGTATGCTACCACATAAGCTCTCTGTACTTCCACCACGTTGTTTGATCCCGCGCGCTATCTATTTACACTAACAAAGAAAACAGCCAGATTCCTGATACAAACTATGCCAAAGTCCTATTAAACTGATATAAACAAATTAGAAGAAGTGCCAAAAGCTGAAACAGTTTACAGAGCTGTCGCATTCAGTAGAGATCTCCTCTAACCAGTTCACGTTACAGGTGTACACTTCGATTAACCCCGGCTTTGAAATTAAACGTATCATTAATCCCGTGACATTCACACGCCTATAATTACACGCCTAATAATACCAATTCCCTCAACACGACGTCGTATCATACACCGCACTCTCTTAACAGACACATAGCGGGAATTCTAAATTTTTTATTCACCTGTTTATCCTTATTTTAAAATTTTAAGTGTAGTGGCTTTGAAACAGATGATGTCATTTCTGGCTCGGTCTGATTAGGAAGAAAGGTGCGTATCGACACCCTACCCCAAAGAAAATGTCACCCTTAACGATAAAACCGACTTAACTCTCGTGAAATGTTTGACGTTTATATTTAGCGTTGAGTCGCTAGCCTAAGCTGTCTTCGGCTTATTTCGAACTTTGAAAATTGTTATGTAAGATATATCCCTGTAATTTTTTTAATTAAACGCTATACATGTAGTTCCAAGACATATTACTCTTATCAATTTTTATACATAAACAGTTCCGGTGAATTTTTAGGATAATTTAAACCGATTCCGTCCGTTAAGAAAAAGGCTTCCCGCTTTACGTTAAGTTTTGCTCTCCTAGGTCATTGTTATCATGAAAAAATAAAAAAGGAAGAAAAAACAGACCCGCATTCCCTGTACAATAAAACTTAATTTATATATTTTAATTTATTTCAGTCTAAACTTATTGATTATTCAACTGAAAAGGTACTTGCTTTTTTGTGTGTGTGAAAGCTTGTAGATGAGCGCTGAACCCTTTTTATTATTTAAGCAAATTTCATCCTCTGTGTAGAATTGGAATAGGTAATCAAATTATGAATAAAATTGTTAAATTAATAAATAAATAAATTACTGAAAATAAGATAAGTAAATAAATGTTTTTAACTAGCTTTTCACAGCTGTTTGCACTTCGTTACTAAGAATGTACCCTTAAACATGTACCGTGTTGACTTAAATTAAGCGCTGAATATCAGATTATTAATTTAGGAATAAAATTCACTTAAAACATTCTAAGAAGAGAGAGTTAAAGATGTATTAGATGTTTGTAATTTTTTCCTATCTTTTTTAAATCAAATGGATTTTTTTGTATATATAAAAAGACAAAAAATATTTCGTCTGTGAGATATTAAAAATATTTCATAGCAATAAAATAGATTTCTTACCCACATAATATAAGACGTTCGATAAGACATTTATCTTAGACATTCAAACAATCTGTAATCAATATATTTTACATGCTGCTACAATGAAACAATAAACAATAGCAACAAAAATAATGCATAGAGAGATACGGCAGTTTTGAAATGCTCGTTCCAATATCGCAGCATAATTTTTTGTAACGATAAGGAGGCTTTAATTTTCATTGAATTTTATTGATGAAATTTCTGTTAAACCATTGCTTGTTCAATCTGTATATGTTGCATTTAAAATGTAGCATTTAAAAACGAGCCTGCCAATCATATGGTTGAACACCTCATTAACGGCACAACAACACGAGGATATAATGAGATGTTAAACTACAACACTACTTGAATTATTCACACATTTCTGTTTACTTGGCATCGTTGAACAACAGCTCATAGAATAACATGTAGTAGTAAAGTATTTAAAAAATCAGCGCGTAACATCACTGAGTTGATCAAAATTATAACTGCGGCACCTACTTACCGGTTCAACAGTAAAACAAATGTCTTAAGTAAATAAAGAATAAAAGAAATAAAGAATAAAATGGAGACAAACTGTATTAATAAAAAACCAAAATTAAAAGAAGTGTCAGGCTTACCTTCTATTGGGAATCCTGGAATAAACGGGGAGATTCCCAGCGGAAAGATCGGACTCAACATTTCGCGTCCACCGTGGTCAAGGTTTGTCTTATTACGTGTGACTTCCCCAAGTCGTATCCGTATAGACTGAGGCGAAACAGACAGGGCAGCGGGAAGATCCTCACCCGCTCTCAGAACGTCTGTTTGGCAGGTTCAAAGAAGTTGACAGAAAAAAACTAGGAATGTTAATCTGTCATTTGTTAAAACACGAGAGTCAACCTTAAAAGCATGCGTCGCTGCAGAGTCCAGAGCTGGCAAGAGGGGAAAACGGCCCTCCTCGCCCTCGAGATGCAATGATCGAAAAAAAGAAATCGCCACCTATTTGATTGGCTCGCACACCTGTGAGTTACAGCAGTACAATAAATCCCCGATCAGCTTTTTATGAGGCCAGGGTCCCAACTCCGGCCTTCGTCTTTTCACCGCGGGTTCAAATTCCCTCCACAGCGGGAATTCAACCCTGTGTGATAATGCAGTTAATCGTCAAGGGATCAGAATTTCACGAGCATGTCACATCGGGCGGCGCCTTTGATCTCTTAGGTGTGCAGTCATTGGTCATCAAGGTCACGTGATTCCATCAAACCCGGCATTCAAGCCATGAGGATGACAAAAAAGAAACTTTGATTGTTCGGATTGTTCAGGCTTCTCCTTTTATTTTTTATTTTCTTATTTTGTCAAAGTTGATGGAACAGTAATGAGCAAAGTAATTTGTAAAATTGTCACAAAGAACGCTCAAAAGATCCCGTTCAGTCTTCATGAAATTAAATGCATGGGATTAGCCATACGTTAAATGGGGAATGATGCAGCTTACTATATGAAAGGCGCGTTCACACGGTTCACAAACGAGTTCGATATAGGTACTGTCTGTGGTTGGTAAATCAGCGGCTGGATCTGGCGACCAACTAAGAGTGATTTCAATCAACTTCTGTTGTCTTCAGAAAACAATCTGTCATATCTTTTGTTTGATACCTTCTTTAGAGGCCCCTAATGTCCCTGAGAGAAGACAGATCAAATGTGCTTTAGGTATTTGATAACGTAAAAACAGTTCTTAGATCTACCTGTCTTGGAGTCCGATTTGATACAGTTTTGTTTCCTATCACGGGAATCGACAAAGCACGTTGATCTAATGCTCACATGTTATCAATTCTAACCATAAGAATCCGAGATCAGAAATACGTACAATACGCGTAAAAATTAATGCGTAGTATTAGCACTCCTAGGGATCCGGACTTGATCCAGCGTCATCATAACGGACCCCGTCCCCAAGGTCAATTAACATAAGTCAAGGCTGATGGTTTGATCACGGTTTGTTAAAATATGTACATAATTTATTACAACAGAACTTGACGGAGACTCTAATACGATCTGAACAGAGGAATGTAGACAGAACTCTACATGAATGTATGTAAGAACCCGTAGCATTACAAACAGGCAACAGACAAAGGGGGATTGCAATTAACAGACGTTTGAATTCTTGACATCGTGCTGAACTCAATGAAGCCCAGGCCTAACCAACTACCAGACTCGGCACCTAAGGATCCTGAATTAACCGGTATATCGGACCACACTACCCGTTTTCAAGGTGTGTGTCAGATCGCATTTTGGAGTATCAGTCAGAACACCGACAGGATGAGCCCACGCTCGGCTGTCACCTTGATTGGATAGTAAATGATTGTCGTATTTAATCGCTATATGATTTTAAAACCGGGTGCATAAATTTGAAAGCCACCTAGATGAACCTTAGACTGCCACATTAATCTAATACAATGCAAAATAGCCCTATCAAAAGTGGTTAAAACATTCAAACCGAATGTCGTAAAGTCCCCATATACCCCCATAGAGACAATGAAATAGAGTACTCTAAAGTAAGAGTACTGTTTCAGGTTGTTCAGTCGAGCGTGGATGAGCTCGCAGTCGTCCTACAAAATTTGTTCTGGG